TGACAAAAGCTCACAAGTGGCTTGGAAACATTTTTTGGGTTCAAGCCTAACCTTTTTGATTATTTGCACCCCATTTTATACATGGGAAACGGATTTCACCGAGCATATGAGATTTCTCTTGACTTGGATCGGAAAACTTGATTGTTTGGAAGTTGGCCAAACTTCAAGCGAAACTAGTTTGTTTCCTTTGGCTCCGAAATAAAATTTTTCACCTCCTAGTCTTATGCTCTCGGTTTCCATGAAAATGAACCATAAATTGAGCGTTTTAGTTAGAGTAATCCTTGAGGAATTCCACTGGTTTCATATTTGAAACTTGGAGCTTTTAGCTCCAATATTTACTATGAAATAAGTAACATTTTTTTTGAATTTTGACTTCGTAAGTTTAGAAACGTGAACGCTCACTTATATTCTAAAACTATAGAATTGGAAGTTTTAAGATATGAAAACATTTTTTTCTTTTCCTCGATTTTTGTGCCAAAAATTAAGCGTGGTACTCCTTTTTTTAAATCGAAATTTCTTGCCACGACTTGACTCGAAAATGGAACTTTTGAGTCCTCCTTGAATATTATTTTAGTGATTAAGTGAGAATATTTCTCTTTTAATATGACTTGAGTTGGAGACTCTTGAGTATGGGTAGCAAGGAGATTTTTTTCTTATTAGCCGTGGCCGAATACCTAGGTAACCGTGATTGTGTATGTCTCAGGTGACCACGTGAACACTGAGGAGCTCGTTTGACCTCTTGCTTTTGCTCTTGACTTTGGTAAGTGTCAAGTGCATGCTTCATGTTACTTTGAGTGAAATGATACTTGTACAAGTGCTATGTGATTCTTGTGATTTGTAAACTTGCCGAGGCGAGGGTGTAGTTTATCGCCCTTGTCCTCTCCCTCTTGAGTACTCGCTACTTGTTATATGAATTTGTGTGACTTGCACTTGTACTTGAACATGCTTTTAACTCGTGAGCACTGAGCAGCAGCATGTACCACATCCTATTCGGGTAGGAGGTACCTCTCATCCTGACTCAGTATTATGATCGACTCTAAGTAGATTGGAGCGTTATCTCATCGATCAATTATACTTGTGGGGATGCCCTAACCCATTGGCTAACCTCGTAACTCGAACCGGCAAGGGCTTGGTCGAGAAGCTTGGCGAATCATGAAAAATTTTATAGTTTGATCTTTTGAGATCTTGCTTAGTATATTCGAATAGTATTGCCACCTCGTGCTTGTTTGGTTCCGGATCTGAGAGGGTGATATGGTGGATGGAGGAAGCAAGTGGAGTTCTACGGATATGTTGCTACTTGAGTTGACAGAGGGTTAACCAAAGATGGCTTGAACCGGCCGTAACGTAAGAATAGTTCCTGAGAGCTCCTGCATCCTTTCTACTTGTGTTTTATTTCCTACTTGCTCACTTATATGAAATTCATGTTAAGTCGCTTTTGAATGTGCTATTTGATTTGGTTCGTGCTACTTGCTTGTTTGCTTGATTTTCTTGGCCTCACTGAGTATTGGCTCACCCTAAGTTGTTATTCCTTAACAGGTTTTGGAAGTGGAAGTTGGGAACTCTAGACTAGCGGTTTTGGTTGATGCTAGTAAACCTTTTGTATGATACTTGAGACATTTGAAGTGTAAACTTTGTTATATTTGGATTTTTTGATTGTAATAGTAGATGGTAGTTTTAGAAGAATTTGGCTTGTATATTTGAAGTATTCCTTTAATTCTAAGTCTATGGTTGACTTGTGGATCCATATTACGCTAGAATGAATGCGTGAATCCTGACGAAAGTGGAATAGGCGGCCCGCTGATACCCTAGCGCTCGCCCTAGGGGGAGGTGGGGGTGTCACATATCTTATATCTATTAGTACAACAAAAACCTCTAACTCTATGGGGATATCAAGTTTTCGTCACAAAATAGAGAGCGTAGAATGGAAAAATATGTGAGCCATATATGGAGAGAAAAACAGACAAGGAAAAGTGAAAAGAAAGGATGGCAACTTTCATCACTTTCACACACAAATCGTAGAGACGATCCAGATATCACTCTTGCATGGATTTCGGTAGAGGCAGGACACCTGGACTGCTCAAGGGGTCGTTCGTCTTCTCGAGTACATCAGAGAAACGTCACACGGATTAAGGTAATCTGTTTTTCCCCTTCTTCTTGAACCATATGCAAAAATTAGGTTGATCTTAAGTGGTTTTTGGGAAAATTTTGAAAATTTCCACTGCCTTATTTCCCAAAAACCCAACAATGGTATCAGAGCCATCCCTAGTGTTTTTCGTATGATTTTATGTGATTTTTTTTTTCATGGATTAATCTCGATTGTTGGATTTAATAATATGCGATATGATGGTTCGAATTTTTGGTGAGTTTTGTGTCTTTTGTTAACTTATAGAACCTATAAAAGTTTAAGGTTTTGATGGTTAAAGATTGCACAAAAATTTACTTTTAACTTTTGATGCATTAGCCGAAAATTCTTGAATGAACAGGCTTGCTATAATCTGATTATAGCGTCGTTATGGGTTTGATTTTTGGGTTTTGTGGCTTCTGATTGACCTTTAAAAACCTGGAATAGTTATAGGTTACAGGTTTTATTGGTTAATTATTGAATAAGAACTTGAACGTTAATCATTACTTTGTCGAGTACTTGCGGGTCAAGCTGTCAAACATGATTATCAAGCTTTCTTTTACCTTTCGAGATGAAATCAGACCCTAAACCTCTCTTGTTGAGCTGCAAAAGTTGCATGTCTTTTAGATTCAAAAAAAGGGAAAGGTTGCAGCAAAAATATTGCTGCGATCTTCCAGGGGCTGCCACCGATTGTTGCTGCCATGTGAGGCTATGGGAGGCTTCCTTGGTGGTGGTGGGAGGTTGCTACAGCTCTTGGTGGTTGTTGGGTAGAAGAATCGAGAGTTTTAAGGGGCAAAAAAGCAGCAGCAACCTCTTGACTGCTGCAGCAGAACCACTGTTGCCTGCGACAACTTGGAGGCTACCGCCGGGAGCTGCCGCCACTGGTGGTCAGTGGAGACCTCTGTGGTGGTGGCTTGTGGTGGTCATCGGTGTTGCTAGAAATCGATTGCAAGAGTGGTTTAGGAAACTAATGAGCCTGTTTGGAACCGAGTTTTTTATCAAATTTTTTAACTACTAGTTTTTTAATAACTTTAGCTACAGGAACCCAAAAAAAACTTATCAAATTTTTTAACCTACACACTTCAAAATATCTAATACACAAAAAACTTCCTCTTTTCTTCTTTTTTCTTCCTCACCCCGATCCACCACACCTTTATCACCGACCACCACCTCCGCCGCTGCTTCCGGCGCCGGCATTCCTTCTTTTTTTTTCCTTTCTCTTTCTCTTTCTCCCTCTCCCCCTCCCCCTCCCCCTTTGACCGATCTAAACTACGTATTCAAAGTCGAGGCAGACGTATTCGGAATCCAAAAAGAAAACATAGACAGAACGGAATCACTTTCTTCAGTGACATATCTATGCCAGAAAAAGAGTGCTTATTCAAATGTCTCGGGATCGAGGACATCAAGACACCAAAATTTTTGCCCCTCTTCATCTCACAGCCCCAGCCCAAGCTCCTCCAGCAGTGCCTCTCTTTTCTTTTCTTTTTTTTTTCTCTCTCTCCCCCTCTACTTCCCTCCCCTCTCCCCCTCTCCTACCCAGCCACCCTCCCCCTTCCCCGAGTCGCGGTACCAGATCGCATCTGCGATTTGGTCACACGACCACGTTAGGCAAAGGGGAAGGGGGAAGGGGGAAGGGGAGGAGAGTAGGAAAGGGGAGGAGGGGGAGAGGGAGATGGAGAAAAGGAGGAGAGAAAAAGCAAAAAAAAAAAAAAAAGAAGAAACCATGGCTGCTGGTTCTTTGGCTTCGGGAGAGGAGTACAGGGGGAGAGGGGAGCAGAGAAGGAGAGGGAGAGGGAGAAGAGGGGAAGAGAAAAAGAAAAAAAAAATTAGCTTGACCATAGCTGCTGAGTCTTCAAAACTGGAGGCAGAGGTGGCGAGGGAGGGAATGGGGAGGGGAAGGAAGAAGAAGAAGAAGAAGAAGAGAGGAAAGAAAAGAAAGAGGAAAGAAAGAAAAAGAAAAAGAAAGAGAAAAAGAAAAAAAAAATTGGACCATCTGCTGGTTCTTCAAAGCTAGCGGCAGAGGTGACGGGGGAGGGAAGGGGGAGGGGGAAGGAAGAAAATGAAGAAGAAAAAAGGAAAGAAAAGAAAAAAAGGAAAGAAAGAAAAAGAAAAAGAAAGAAAAAAAGAAAAGGAAATAAAAGTTTTTCATCTCAAAAAATTTTTCCAAAAAACTTCTACAGTACACTACAGTAAAATTTTAGACAAACTTTCAAAAAACTCAGGTTCCAAACGGGGCCATAAAAAAGTGCTGAAACTGAATCTTTTCAGACATTCAGATATTTTGAGTGTTTGATAAATAAAAATCCATCTGCTGAACTTATTTAGTGGTGTTGAACTTGTGTGTATGTTTTTCAACCCAAGAATCCTAACTGCATGCTTAATTCTGATAAGAATCAATAGAATTACTTCAACTACCTTATCTTATCTATCAAATCTACTTTTGTTTGTTAATTATGTTCAAAATTCTTATCTAATTAAACAATTTGATATTCTCTATTTAACGGTTTTCTATTTCTCTTTTCTTCTTTTTTAATAACTTTCAAATCTTCTCCATACGTCTCATATGATATATTTCATCTTTTCTATTAATTTGATTTAAAAATAAATATTGTCATTTTCATACCTAACAATTTTAAACTAATTAAATCATAAGGTCTATTTCTCTTTTGAATGAAAAGATATAAGTGCAAAATTGTCAAATTAAACTTATTAAGTATTCAATTATAAATATTTATCAAACAGTATAAATAAATTTAGTATTAAAATTCAAATATTTATATATTTCTTTTCGGTGTTTAAAATTTTGCAAATTAATTATATTTCAGAATTCAGATTCAGAAAGTAGAAAATTCATTGTCAAATGTCAAATGCACAAAAAGGAAGTCGTTGGAGCAGTGGTTTCTGCCTTTTGGGGTCAGTTTTTTGGGCGCTCTCCCTCAAATGTCACCCTCAAAATTAGAAGCAATCAGCCTATCGCACAGCCGCACCCATCTTCTGCCGTCGTCGGGCCTACCGGAGGCGCCGACAGCCAGCCAGCCAGCCAAATCTGAGGTCCAAGGTCCCACTGTTTGGGGTAGGGCAGTCACCTAAAATCTTGCAGCGGCGTCAGCGCCAGCACCGAATTCGCGGCCAATTCTCCAGGTTACAAGGTTGGTGCCCCACCGTTGCCTTTCCCGGCACTATATCTTCCTCCTGGCATTAGATTCTGCCTCCTTTCTTTGTGTATATTTGTGTGTGGCCATTTTTTTTTCATTTTTTCTCCCTTGTTGAAAATTCCTTATTCTGTGTAGAAATTTTATCCATTTGATTTTATTGGAGTGTCGAAATCATTTGCAATCTTAAGCTTAACAAAGTGTTACTTTTGCCAAAACTATTGCTAAATCCGTTTGAGTACGGTTGAACTGTATATCTGACTAGAGGATGGCTTAAACATAGGATAAACTCAATTTTAGCAGCGAAAGAAAAAAGTTAAGTAGGAGTCCGAACAACTCAACATGCTAATCTGACTGGAAGGAAAATTAGTTAACAAGGTGCGAATTGGCATAAAGGCACCAATTTGCGCCTCGTGAATTCATAAGAATCTTAGAAGAATGTGCTTTAATTTGAAGTTAGTGAAAATCATGAAGGCAACTGGTTGATAAAAGGAGCAACACATATTGATCTAGATGCTATGGGGATTTTCTAATTTTTTTGCCCTTCATTGATAATTTCGATGAAGAAAAAGGAGCAATGCAAATTGATCTAGATGCTTTGGGAACTTTCTGATTTTTTTGCCCTACAACTATTTGCCTCTATATTCTGCCATTTTTTTGTTTATTTACTAGTTGACTAGGCGCTCATGTGTTGCATAAGTTTGCCCAGATTTTGCTTTTATATCCATAGAAGAGTTAGTCGGAATTAGTTGGATAGAAACAAAAAGACAAGGAATTAGTTGGCAAAGATGAAGATAGAGAGGTCATGTAGATGCATGGTTGTATATTATATATATAGAAAGGCATTTAAATTTACAGGTCCTATTACCAAAGTGACATATTGTTAATTCAACCTGATGAAGTAGGATTCTGATAACAATGAATTGCTCTTGACCTGTTGAAGTAGTCTGATGACTGGTAGATGATGAAGTTATTTGTAACTTTGGAAGTCTTCTGCAGGAAGCTTCTCTTTGCACACAACACATCATACAGTAGTGGTACAATAGCCAGTTGATCTTCATTTGGTTGTTGATACTGCATCCAATGTAGAAAAAGTGCTATGTGGCAAAATCAAACTTCTCAGCCATAATCTGATCAACTGTAGCATTGCCAATATAGTATGTGCAATGCAAGTGTAGCAAATCATTTAGGATATCTACATCAGGGTAGTACATAAGACCTTGAATTGTCTTTTCTGCTTTAGCTAAATGTGAAAATTTCGACAGTTTTATGTTGCAGTATAACATAGTGAAATAGATTACCACAAAAATGAAAAGGGCGAAGTGTGATTTAAGTGTTTATGATATAAACAAACACACATGTCAAACAAAACTGATTGTAACTGCAGAATTACAGATTCCAGGAATGTCAGGCATTAGGAGTGTGCAAGTCAAATATGTAGTTATATATCTAAATGTCAATAATCATCAGTAGCGCGAAATATCACAAAAATTGGCTTCAGAGCACTGCCAAATGGTATATCTCTAAACTTGATGTGGGACAAGATGGGTGAGATCTTGCCTACTAGTGGGAGCAGAAGAACAAGGATCTTGAGACTGTTTTGGGGCTGTGAACATTACCGTGGACAGTGACGCGGTGAGAAAAGAGGGGAAGAAGCGGAGAAGCTAGGAGAAAGAAGAACAACACAACTAATAAACCAAAACTCAATCTCTATAAAGCTCCCCGGGGCTTGGTCTGGTGGCATGGGGCTGCTGAAGATGGGGTGTTGTCCCTGGTTCGAGTCTCGCCGCCAGCAAGTTGCGGGGGGCAGGGGATTAGTCTGCGGGGTTCACTCGGAAACCCTAAAAAAAAAAAAAATTCCTCTATAAACATAAGTATGACGTAGAAACATAAGTATTTATAAAGTAAAAAGCTACCTAAAACTGCTATTTCCATATTCTAAATAGGAAAATAGCTAATTGTAGAACTCTAGAACTTTCGGGAACTTTCCCATTCCCTATAAGAATGACTTGAACAACATACCTGATATTGTAGATAACTCAAAAAGGCCCAAAATGACTGACATTCTGGAAATTTCGAGTGACGGAGGAAAGACCAAAATTTTTAAGGCCTAATAATAGAAACTACTAAACAAGCAGAGAACTTTGACCATGTTAGACTCTAGGAATCACCATGGACAGACTCCTTGAGACCAAAACTTCTTCTTTTTTGGGAAAGGATCTTTTAGTTTATTCTTAGCTTCCAAGGACAAGAATATTTATCCAACCAACTTATGGTTGGGAAATTAGTGGAGAAATTAGTAGAGAAAAAGATAGGGAAGGGAAACCAGTTATTATCGATTTTTGCTGATTAGAACTTGAAGCTTCCAAAATATTGTTGCCAGCTGTGTCAATTGGCTGCTAACCCAGCAATAAAGCTTCAATTCAACTGGTTCAATGAGCCATGCCCTCTAATGTAGAGAGAAAATATTGTAAAGCTTCTAAATTTTATTTCTTTTCACTTTCATGCACTTTTATCTTTTAACAAAGCAACTTCTTTTGGACGTCCTTTCAAAATCTTTCGAGAAAGTCTCAAAGTTTGAAAAGAGTTCTGCATTTGTAACCATATTGGTCAAAGAAGAAGAAGAAAATATGGCTGACCAAGAGGAAGAAAGTTTGGGCTCTAAATACCAGACTCATATAGGACAAGCTGGATGAGATCTTGCCTACTTGCGTGAGCGGAAGAAAGAGAGGAACTTGGGACTCTTTCCAGGCTGTGAACGGTAACCATGAACAGAAACATGGGAACGAAAGAGGGGAAGAAGTAGAGAAAAATTCTTGGTGACTGTGAATCATGGACTATGGTACTGATTTCATAATTCTGAATTGGATGTCTTGTGTTTTAGTGCAGTGAGTTGTCCAGGGATAAAACTAGTAAGGAATCTCATATGATGCCATGACTTTTTCGTGGGGTTGCTTGGCAATGTTGCTTTTGACTTATCTTCAATTTGGGCATTGAAGCCATGGCGAGACATGCAGACATAGAACCAGTACATGGCTATTATTTACAGCTTTTAGTATTTTGTGTGTTAGAATTTGCGAGTTGGAGGTATAATTATTAGAAATTTAATAACCTAGTTGGATTCTCAACTTACATAACTACCTTCTCTTAAATTCTATTCAAGGAAGTTAAAGTGGTCTTTTTGGAGTGCTTGTGGGTCAGTCCCATAGGCTTGTGGCAGTTGTTGGATGTCATACTCAGTTTATAGTAAAGTAGTTAACATATCGCAAATACTTTGCACCATTCACAGTCTAGCAATGTCTTTGAAGTCACTACAAAAACACCATATAATGGCCTCATACTAAAATAAACTGCTGGTATAAGGGATTTCAGAGATATGGCCTCATGCTAATATAAATTGCTGGTGTAAGGGATTCCAGTCTCTGGAATCCAAGAATCCCCAGTAATAAAATTAGAAACTGTGAAAGGAATGACTTCCTCGGACTGATTCAATGCTTTATATCCCACCCATGAAATTCATCTCCTTGTTCCTGCGCCAGGGCCCCAATTACCGTATTCTATATAGGTTAGCTCATCTGTGCGATGGCCTGGCCACTCGTACCACCCAGCTGGGTCTATGATGTTATCCAGGAAGGATTGCATCACAATCACGGTCGACCATGCAAACCATGGTCTTCCAAGAAAAGCGTGAACCTGTGATTTGTTGGACTGTAAATCCGGGACTGCTGTCAAAGTGGAATTTTGAATGACAAATCCACTAACTTGACCGGGTAACGGTTTTCCCTGTGCAGTGAAAGTAATAATGCGGTTAGGCAACCGCGCATAGAAGTTGCAGCTTTGAAAGACTGCTGCAGCCTCGCCAAACACAAAATCAACAGTGCCATAGATTTCACACTCCTTATAAAATTGCTTGCCCAACTTTGCATAGAGCGTGTCATGGTACCCTAAAAATGTACATCTGTAAAATGATGATTGATTAGACTCGGACATTAGGGCAACAGCTTGACTGCCTTCTCCTGCTGAGTTCTCGAAAGTAATGTACTTTGCTGAGAATTTATCACCTTTAACAGCTGCAAACAATGTCATGTAATGGCATTTTAATAAGCTTGATATGCTATGAAATGGATAAAGAAAAGATAAAGTTTATGAAAAAGAAAAAAGAAAGGAAAAGAAATCGTAAATACAGCTTGCTGAAAATTTTAAATCCTATATGCAATATTTTTTCCACTGCGAAACCAAAATGAACATCTAAATCTTCATCTTCCAAGACCATGCAACGTGAAAATATCTATATGAATATACGATCTTTGAATATTCTTTCTACTGATAGAGTTGGTAGTATTATTGCCAAAGAAGTAAGCTTTCTGCAAAGAAGTTGGTACTATTTCCGATGGGGGAGTATTTCATCGTCCAGTCTGTCTTATTAAATTTAGGCATTGTACTGTGTAGAATGTATGAATTACATAATCTTAATAACGCAGCATGGTGTATGTGAAATTGTAGTAGTACTCCAAAGAGAATAGATTGCTGCAAGAAGCAAATGAGCTTGAAGAATTAAAGCTTTGAAATTTGAAAGCCACTGTAACTTTGTAGAGCTAGACATGGTAGAGGGTACATACTATGTGGGAAGATACAAAGCGCGCATGTTTGATATTGTTGAAATCTTGTGTTTGATATGGATATAGGCAACAATTAAATGCTGAGCTTGCATTTCTGTAAGTGTGCTTGCATTTTGTTGTTCAACCTTTTTTACCTTCTCCAGTTGTAGGCATGCTTTATTTGGTTATATTTACATGGCTTAGGATACTTCTACAAGCTTATGAACCACTATGATTTCCTTAGGCTTCTTTGTGTAAGTGCATCGATTTTGCCCATTGGGTAATTGTTATCAGATAACTCAGTTTTGCCCATTGGGTAGTGTAAGTACATGCTTGTAGGCCCTCAAAAATATTCATTTAAACCTCACTTGGAAGAATGAATATGAAGAAATAGGACAAAGCAGTGAGGTTTAATATGATAAACAAAACAAAACAAGCTTTAAGGCCTTTAGATAAAAGGACAAAATTGCAAGGTGAGAAAGGGCGAGAGTAAGAACATAAATTGAGAGGATAAATTTCTGATAATTGTTTTCTCACATGCAAATAATCTGGCAACTAGGCCTTTATGTAAAACTAAGATAAACCCATTCCTTATCTGACTTTAGTACCATAACACACACGGACTCAATAACATAGACAATATTGATATCAAATTCTAGCTAATAAAGTTTCTGAAACACAAAGCCATATCACCTAAATAATTGGAATAGACTTGTTTAAACCTACTAGAAGGCTTCTTTGCTGCATTAAAAGGAGAGCTTCAATGAACTGCAACAGACAAATGGTGAAGTTCTATAGTGCAGTGAAGAAAAAAGAAGTTAAAAGAAACAAAAGGAAGGCTTCTGATGTCCCCTGTTTTTCCCACTCTGCTTTTTACTACTCATCTTTTCATTAAAATTCACCATTTACATGTTAAAAAGCTGAAATGTTGTGATCCTACTAAAGCAAAAGTAGAAAGCATAAATCGCAGTCAGAAGTCCTTACAAACAGTGGCAGTTTCGTAAGTTTTGAACTCAGGGAATCTCCTGTTCATTGTGATTTTGGTTAAATTTTCACCGTCTCCAATCAAAGCTATATTTGTCTTATTTCCCCACACTTCGACAATCTCCTCATATATACCCGCCTCCACATGAATGTAGTACCTGGATTGACTCTGAATGGGTGCCGATGCAATGGCATCCATTATCCGTCTATATGCTTCAGGTCTTGTCTTGGACACAGTTGCATTAAACATAATGCCATTTCCATGAATGTTGCTTGATTTCTTTTGTCCTTTCAGCTGGAAATGTATGGAGATGTAAACAGATATAACCATAACCAATGCAATCACAATGATCACTAAAGCGCCCTTGGCCATAGCTCCCTATCTACACCTGGTGATTAGTGGTCGATGCAAATAGCTGCCTGAGCGTTCTTTTTGTTAAGTAGTTGGTTGCAGGGATGAGTTGCAATTCCAACCTATCACCTGGAGATGTTGCTGATAGGCTAAAAGTGTATCTCTCAGGCACGAGTAAAAGAGGCAGATGACTACTTCAATGATGTCTCAAGACAGTTTGAAAAACATTCAAAGCTTATGGTGCTCTTTCAAGTTGCTATGCCAAGAAGTTGATGAAGAAAACTGAGGAACTTATGCAGAGAATGACAGCATCTCGTTGTAACACAAAAGTTATCATACATGAAAGTGCTTAACCTCTAATTTGAGTTGTGATAGACTAAGAGACTTAGAGAAGTTTATGGAAGAAATGGAAACAGAAGGCATTTTGTTGCAGCAACTTTGAGTACTATGTCTTGTTGAAAGCATATGCTACTGATTATTATACTAAAGCCACAGGAAAACACTTGAAGAAAATCGAGATGGAGGCTCTAGTTCATGCGGGATACAACATTTGTTTTTCATGGCAGCAAAGGAATGCTTAAGAGCTAGCCTGGTAAAAAAGTCTTCTGAGATACTAAACAAGGCAGAGACACTCAAGGGGGGAGCAAAGTGTACGGTATACATTCATGAACTTCTCCTTGGTATGCATTTGCATTCGACTAGCAAGAACTAGAATGAAGTCGTCAACTCTGGCATTTGTGCAACAAGAGGGGCTATGTAAGCAACTCAGAGCATCAAGACATGATACGATTTTCAATCAGTTTGGATGACATTCAAGGAGCTGAAAACATTTTCCAGGAAGGTGAATCTGTGAAAACCCACCGCTTATGACTCGGATATTTTTGAGGACAAGTTTAATGCTTATGCTAAAATGAGATTGCTGGGAGAGGCAGCAGCAGTGGTACGAAGCTGTGGTGAGTGGAATGAAGGTTCCTGCGGAGGCATGGGACCAACTAGCATATCTATACTACAAAGATAATCAGATGAAGAAGCCTGTTGATGCAATGACGAAGGCCTTTCTATTGTGAAGGCATTTGTTGGACATTAAACCGCATTAACATGTATTGCATGTTTTGAGTATTTAAAAGAAAATGGAGATGCAGAAGTTTACTGATACTGATGGGGAACGATATCATGATTGCCAAGGAATTGGGTAGATTTAAAATTGTTACCTTAGTCCTAAAAAAGGAAATAAAAGACTAGCTATCTGTTATTGTGTTTGTATTTTTATTCTATCTTGGTTTTCAGACATAATGTTTCATTATTTCTGGCGGTAACCTACTATAGCCAACTGAAACTTTAATCCTTACCCAAAAAAGGATGATTTGGTTGTTGAATTGCTTTGAGTGTATAATGCAAATGGATAAAAACCATTTGAGGCCAATGGACATCTTTGGGGGTAACGAAGAATTGCGAATGGATAAAACCATTTCAGGCTAATGGACGTCTTTGGGGATAATGACCTGAAACTGCCTGCTACATAAAAATATGCTTGATATTCAGAACATGATTTACTTCCTGCGAAGACCTGTCATGCAATGAATCATCTGGGGGCTTTCCTCCTTGGTCGGTGATCACAACTTACGACCGTAAGTAGGCACAAAAACAATAATGAATATTTTTTTATTTTAGTTTTTGAATATTAGACTTAGCTGCCTTCATTTGAATGCAGTAACTTTACGGCCAACAACTCCACATAATTAGATTCTAACAGCAGATGAATGCAAGAAATCATTCATATATTTAGTGATTATAAAGTGAGTGAAAGGATATTTCTATACGTTTTGGAATAGCAATCATGATCGAATTCTTTAGCTGCTGTTTAATTTTCCGTGTACCCTTGTGTTATAGTAGTATTTGGCCAAGAAAACTGCCAAGGCCTGACTAATGGATGTTAACAGATATACATTTATGAATATTTAATGTCCATTTGTAGAAAAACTATGCTTACGTGAGCTTGAGCGTTAGTCAAGGATACTCCAGAGTTCAGAGTAGCATTGACTTTGTCTTCTGGACTGAAATTGCAAAAATACACCATTTTGGCAAGAGTGAGTTATCAGTCATTACCATATAAAACCAACAGCGCATTTATGCATAACCTTGACAACTACGCAATTCCACCATAATTTACAGAGATTAAAATCTTCCAACATACTGATTGATGCAAATTGAACTGCTAAAGTTTCTGATTTTTCGATTATTACTAAACATTCCAGAGTCCAAGTGCGATAATAGGCTGACCAAGCCAATAGGCTACATTGGTACAGAATACTTTGGTCTACATGTATTGACAGTGAAGAGTGTTGATGTCTCTGGTCTTGGGGCAGTAGTATTAGAACTTTTGACAGGGAAAAGGGCTATTTAACAATGGCTAGCTGCGATAAATCTATATTTCCTCTAGCAGCAACGGTATTTTGCTCAGTATCAATGGTAAGCATGCCATAACATTGTAGCAAATCACCTGCAAATCACCCTCACTGCTCATGCAGAATAAAATAAATCTATCCCGAATGAAGGTAATTCAAACGTAATGTCCATCCAAGCTTGGAATTGTCAATCAAGTGCACGGTACGATTATGTTAATATCAATTCAGAAATAGTGAATATATGATAGACAGAAACATCTGCACCGTATCCATTAGTAGAGTTCAATACAGTATAAGAGATAATATTATATTTGGACATAGTTTTTTAATTTCATTCTCTTCTAAAATGGCATCTTACTAAAAACTCAAGGCTATGGAGGCAGCAGTTCACTGGATGAGCAAAAAGCTAGATGAGTCCTTTTTTGTGTCAAAGAGAACAACATTTTATCTACCTAGCATGACATGTCCAAATTGCACGAATGATCCAGGTAATAATGATATTCATTGAAATAATTCACAAGATTTTACTCGTCCATAATGTCAAATCCATAGATAGGTTGTATCTGAAATGATCTATTCTATACGAGTATAGGCAAGAAGACATCCTTCCAATTGAAGAACAAGCCATTGAGTCCTTCAATCAAATCAATTTGAAGTAAATAGAGGGCTACTTTCTTTGTTTCAAGAAAATTACAAAGACCGTAACCTCTTTTTATTTCCAAAAATGATGTAACGGATTTTAGCTTTGACCTTATTTATCAAGTGGCGTTTGTTATTTAATTATTAGGCTATATTTTTACTCCTTGTGTAATTGTATAGTCTGTTCTATTATGATTGGTTTAGATAATCAATCCTAAATTCTGAAAATTCAAAGAATTTAGGGCGTGATAACATTGATTAATGTTTATTTTTCACCGAGACAACATATATTATATTTTGTTCTTTATTGAAACATCTAGAAAAAGTTTGTGACATACTATTGATCAGTTTCTTCATTAAACTTAAGATAAATGACCCTTTAGTCCAGTACTCTCTTGTAGCCAAACTAATGAGCTATTATGCTCCGCTCCCTTCTGGTAAATTATCCACTTTTATCAATCGATGAATTTTCACATTTTGTCTGAAAAAATGATATTAACCTATTTCTCTTTCAGGAAAAAAATTGCCAAATTTTGTTGTTATGAAAATATGGTTGTCACCATGAATTATGTGATCAGATTCATGATCATTTGTTTCTTCTTGTTGTACTACCTATATGGATAGTCAAGGCAATCTCAAGTTATATGATTATCATCCTTTGCAGTTGCAAAACAAATTCAAAAATTATGAAAATTAGTGACATAGTATTTAGTTCAAATCAATGTATTTTTATCAATCAATTTATCCAATAGTAAGTGATTTTGTTACAGCTTGAGCAAGGAAAAAGTTGTAATTGGACTTGATGGGTGTTTGGGTTATTCAGATAATTTTCAACTTATTTATTCGTACTAGTATAAATCAGTTGATCCAACTTATCAATTCATACTGATATAAATGGGTTGATCTAAGTATAATAATAATAAAATTTCTATCAGAACTTGTTCGTATTACCTAACTTGCCACTTCGCAATTGTTTTATTTGCTTGCAACTTAATGTTCTAATCACCCAAATTGGCACTTTGCTATTATTATATTTACTTGCAACTTAATGAGTTACCTTACTAACCAAACAATTTTGCGTGTTTTGTAGTTCATGAATTCAAGGTCAAAAAGTTTGAAGAAAATTTGTGAAATGACCAAATGGAAATAAAGAAATTTTACCTTTTAGCAATTATGAAAAGAAAAGGATAAAAGAGACCACATGGCACTTGAATTACAAGACGGTATTTTTTAACTTAATTTTTTTTAACACATTTGTTGTCTTCACTCCTATTATTTTTCCCGCTAATTTTCTTTTCTTGGTGCATTTGGGTGGTTAATCAATTAAAAATGGTAAAAAGTTTCGAAGTTATTACTCGATGACCCAAATTTCAAACTTTTTTTCAACTCCAATTATCAAACATTTAAATAGTGAATTCATGAATTTTCAATATAACCGGTAATTGTTTAATTCAATTGTATTTTCTTTTTTAAATTTGTTTTTATTTATGTCCTCCTACCAAATCCATAATCCAAACAAAGGATTTACCTTCTTTGGATCTTTTTTCATTTCCCCAGTACTTTCCTTTGTCAACCAAACAAGAGAAAAGAATATGGGTTTACAAGGAACCTACTTTCCATTCTTTTACTTTCCTTTCCTCAGTGGCCTCCTGGAACCAGGCCAGACTTGTGAACAGAGGGCTATGGCTCATAGAGGACGTTGACCATCTTTTCTGGTAATCATTCCGAATCCGTTGTTTATCTAGTTGCAGCACTCTACAAGGCCGGTGACCATCTTGTTTGAAGGGGCAACTTTTTGTTAGCCATTCTTCCTTTCAAAACACCCACAATTGATTTAAAGTCTATAGGTTGACCCTGTGTGAATGGTCCAACGGTAGCACCTCCAACCGGTGACCCTTAAGGTCCCAGGTTCGAGTCTCTGCTCTGCTGGATTCCTCCGCGTATATATCGTGCTTGGACCGGGTTGGGGCGCCAGGCCCGGGCCGCAGGGGATTAGTCGGATCCCGTAAAAATTGACCCGGACACCCCTGTGTCGACAAAAAAAAAAAAAAGATTTAAAGTCTATAGGCACTAGGACCCTAATGACCCAATTGCATTATGATGCTTTGATTCGAAATAAAATTCCACCAAAATTTCAGGCACAAGTACCCAAAAGGAAGAAGTACTACTGTAACCAGGCATTACCAGTTTACTACTCCATTAATACATCAAATAAGAGGAAAATCAAGGCTCTCCACAAAATGTTGGTCTATCCTACCATCAAAAATATAGTTTCACAGTAGAAACTTGGGATCACATGAATTCCAAATCTTCTTCCTGTGCTTCAAGAACTATGGTGGCAAGAGCAAGTCTATATGCAGTGGACCCCAAATTCCTAACCAGAACGTAAATTTCCTTCCTCCTCTTGCTAACAGAGATGGTCTTCCATTGATCCTCTCTAAGATGAGCAAGCAAGACCGCCTCACATAGAGCTATTGCCACATGCTTCTTGCTGTATGTCCATTAAAACAACAATCAAAAAGCACAAAAATAAACCAAAAAGACTAAAAGGACAAACAAATGATGTCCAAAGGAACTCACGTCAACCAAACAAATTCACAAAGCAAAGAATAGTTCATTCACAATCCCTCTTGCAGAATATACAATAATTACCTGCCTCGAATGAAGCCAGTTGTAATAAAACCAATCGGCCACCTAAAAGACTCGCTGACTCTCGGTTCTTCTGGTACTTGAAGTGCCCATCTCCCAGATGGCTGCTGAACAAAATATGAACCCGGCAAAGACTGAGGTGCTTGAAATTTTCCAGCATCCTCCAGTCTACGTTGTTTGCAAGAAGATACTTTCAGAAAAGTTACTAGGAGCCTTAAAAGTTCCAGTTTCCAAAGTTCCTCTTTTTTAATTTTCCCAAAAATGTGATACATACATACTCCTAAGTGCATTTACAAGGCTGCATGCCCTACTTAAGTTAGTTCAACCTCTACAACCTTATGGTTACACAGCATCATAACTTTATTGGTCTAAATAACCCGCACAACAGAAATACCAATCCCTCAAATGAGTTTCGCAATCTAAGCCATCATCTAACAAGGCAAAGCAAAAAGTTATGATAGCTCCCACAATTCTTTTAGTGAAGACTTTACCATATCTTATGAACCTTGAGACCTAAAACACAAAACCAATCTTTGACAGCAGTAGTCTCACATTTGACTAACCGAAGTCTCACATTTGACATGACTCAAAAAGTGA